AATCTAAAATGAATGAATTTAAATTTGTAAATCATCTCATGACAATGCATATTATAATAAGAAGAAACAAAGAATATCAAAAAAAAAAAGTTCGAAGATGTGTGAAACGTGAGATGGAGAAGAGGGACAATGTATTATGTGGGGAGTATTTTTGTTTGTGTGGAGTTCAAAGCACGTTCAGTATGCAAAAATAGAGTGGAGTCTGATGCCTATGCGTTTACAACATTAAAAAAAATAACATTAAAAAAAAAAAAAATTTTTTTTTAAGGTTGGTGACTTATCACAATAATCACAATCTCTAAAAGATTTTTAAAAAAATGGTTTATATTGTTTAAAATCATAAACAAAGAAAAAAAAAAAATTAAAAAAAAAAACTTTAATTAAATAAATCCAAATTGAAACAAGTTAATGATAAAAAAGATTTTTTTTTGATTTTTTTTTTTTGATTTTGATTTTAATAGATTTTAATAGATTTTAATAGATTTTTGATTTAAAATGAAAATAATACTATTATTATTATTATTATTAAACTGATAATAAATGATAAAATGAATCATCCTCTCTAATTCATATATTTCCTCCGTACATTAAAAATAATGCAGGTTATTGTGTAACTAACTTACGTTATAGGTTTATCAAACCGTCCGTAAAGTAAAAAAATATGTTTATTCAAATACGTTCTGAATTTTGATTGGTTTTTGTTTTTCTTCAATTAATCAATCAACGGATAATTTTTTTTTCCTTTTTCCTTTTTTCTTATTTGAAGTACGGTTAATAAATTTCCGAAATCTGTTCATGAAATATATACATATATTTTTTACAATAAAATAAGTATTGATTTTTTTTTTTGAAACCATTTTTTTAATAATGAAATGAAATAATTAATTACAATACAAATATTTAATGTAACTTTTTAATACAAAATATATCAGAAATGTTTTTTTTCAATAAAAATAAAATGAAAATATGTCAAATGTTTTTTTTTAAAATAAAAATAAAATGAAAATATATCAGAAATGTTTTTTTAAAAAATAAAAATAAAATGAAATGAAATTTAATAATAATTACAAAATATTTTTTTAAAAAAAATGAATGTTCATACCACGCAACTAATGATATAAATTATTTATTCATAGAAAGAAGATCAAAAATATAAACGAACATTCTTTTATACCAAATTCCCAATCTCTCCATATAAAAATTTTAACCTTTAACCGTAAAAGTAATTCTCCTCCCATATGAAATCATCGACCCGCGATATATTTATTATAATGTAATAATCATACTATTTCCGATCATCGTCAAAACCTTTGGATCGTTATTAATTTCACCATTAAACGCTTCATTTCCTAAATCCCATAAACATCCTCCAACAAAATAAACAGTAACAACGGTTAAACAAAAAGCCCATAGGATATTAAAAATTAAAAATAAACCTGCCAAAAAGAAATTGAAATTTAAATGTTTGATTGATGTTGATAATACCAAAAACAAATTCATTTTAAAATGAAAATTTATATCGAATGGGTAAAAAAAAGTTATTCGTATAATATATATATAATTATTATATATATTATATATTATATATTATATTACATATATAATTATATATATTATTATATATATTATTATTATTATTATTTAAATAATAAATAATAAATTTTTTTGCGTTTTTAAATAAAATTTAAATTTGATTCTTTTTCTTTCTTTTCGTTCCTTTTTATTTCATTTCTAGAAATCAGAATATAAAAGGATCATTCTTATATTAAATTATTTTCATAATTATCTGAACATATTATATTAAAATTTTGGTTCATTGAAGACAAAAGTAGAATGAAAAATAAGAAGAAACCAAAAAAAATGAATTTTATCGGTTAAAACGGATAATACCCTTAAATAATAAATTTTAATTTAAATTTTAAATTTCTTTAAGAACCAAAAAATGTAACAAATAATAAAAACCTTATAAATCACAAGACCACTTTGGTAATTTATCACCGCATAATTCATATTCTTTCAATTTATTATAATTCATAATTTATATTATGCAAATATGTGACAAATAATATATGAGGTTTAATTTTTTTTCCTTATCGATTAAAGTGATAATAATAATAATAATTATTATTATTACGGAAATCACTTATTTTGATTGATTTTGATTGATTTTTAGTCAACAAAGGATTATTGAATGAATTGATTTATTATGTAAAAAAAATATGAACGAATAGAATCAATTTTATAATCAATAAATATTATGACAAATCCATTTTTTTTTTTTTATCGGTATATATTTTTTTCGAACATCGAATAATCGGTTGAAATGAATAATTTGGTTGAAATTCATAAAAATAATATATATTTATTTAGTCAAAGTATACCACTTTTACTTTTTTTGAAACTGCAACACAGTGAGAAAAAATATTCCATTGTTTTTGAATGTGTTCCCAAAACATTCAAAATTTTATCTTAATATTTGGAAATTGTTATCCTTAATTTGGGTTTAAACTTTTGGTGCCCATTTTTTTCTTATTCGGAAATTGGTTCTAAATCTTAAAAATATTTTTGGATGTTGTTATCACTTTTAAGAAATATATCAAAATTTTTTGGTAATTTTCTCACCCATGAACATTTTTTTTTTAATCATCAGTTACCATCGGTTAAACGACGACCCTGTCCTGAAATCATTTATAATCACAATGAACCGGTAAAATATATTTACCTATGAAAATAAATAATGACTTAATGAATTAAATAATGACTTTCAAAGTATAATATAATACCCGATTTTTACGTTGTACTGCAACTGGCTCAATTTTGTTTAACGATGCAATTATTATAATAATTAAATAATACTGTATGCTGATACTTATCCAATCATTAATAATAACTCTATAAATACTTACCTTTTATATTATTACATACATTTCATGTAATAATGACTGATGTTATCTATCGAATAAAATTATTTGGAAAATATTTGCGTTATTTTTGCGTTATTTTTGAGTTATTTAGAATGGGGTTTTTTCATATTTTTTCATATTTTATTCGGGAATTACTATTTTAATATTTTAACAATGGAAATTTTTTAAGCTCAAATTTAGGTGCATATTTAGGTGAAGAAGAAATGGTACAACTGTGTCGCTTATGCTGAGATATCATTTATTGTCCCTCATACTTTGAAAAGGAGAACTCGACGGGCATTTGGTCTGTGATGTTATAGAGACTTTCCTTATGGCTTGTTTTAATAAGTGGGTACGTCATGAAATCACATGTCATTATTTATCATTTTCTCTTTACATTTCATTTTCGATGATACAATTGAGAAGCAATAGAAAATAATAACAAGAGAGGGTTTTCATTTTAAAATTTTAAATAATGAAGGAACAAAAAGACTAATTGAAAATTGTTTTTTTTTTAGAATGTTTGGCTACATTGACAATCGATGATTTAAGTCAAATGGAATCAATTCATCCAATTAAATATATACCATACAATAATTTACGAATATTAAATATATGACTAAAGGTGGATTTAGCAAAATTCTTAAGAAAGAACTACGATCATTTGATAAAAACAATAAAAGGATAAGGGGATCAAATTATGTGATACTTAAAAATTGGAAATGCTGTAAGTGATAGTAGAATTTGTTTCGAAGAGGTACACGTGTACATATTTTTAAATTCAATATACGGTATTAATTAATTAATAAATATAGTGTAAAATATTTGCGGGCAAAATCACACTAAACTTTGTCATTTAACTCAAAATAGTATTAGTTTAAGTTGTACAAAAAAAGTCTAGACACATTAAATTCAACTCTTTGAATATCTTTAACGCAAAAAGACAATCGATATGTCGGACGAACTGCTAGCTTTACGGCATTATACAAAGGTCAGACAATTTGAAGAGCGAACCATTTAGATTATACATAACTTTAGAACTAGTGTTATAGTAAGATAAAATGAGATGTCTTTGCATTGCCTATGCAAATAAAATTATAATAATGCAACCCTACCTCAAATATTTGTCACATGATTAATACGATTTGCCAACCTTGTTAAAAGAATGATTATTATATAGTTAAAAAATGGGTCTATAATAAAAGATAGTTTCAGCCTAAGATTCGTCACTAGTTTCGGACTGAGTTTCACATTCGGCCATATGGTTTCTGCTACTTTACTTTCGGACTTGGTTTCAGATTCGGCCACATGGTGGTTTCGGCTACAAGTATATTGCATACCTTTATAATTAGTATAATTTCCAATCGTACCATTAACCATTGATTACCAAATATTTGAAGGATTGTTAAGACGTGAACCTCTAATAACTCAACTAAACATACATTAGTTAACTTCTGCCAAGATGCTTGGACAATAAAATTACATTCGGCCGGTTCCAAGTCTGCAAATATGCATCAAATAGTATCTGACTTGCAGTGTAGTACCTTAACAAATAGGGATTTAGGATTGGCACTAACATTTCGGCTAAATTAAGTGGGTTAGCCATTATACCATTTCGGCTAATTAAAGTGGATTAGCCATTTCGGCTAAATTAAGTGGATTAACCATTATAACTTTTTAAAAATTTCAAAACTATTAATATTTGCAAATATGGTTTCGCCGACACTGAAACCAATTTCGCCGGGACATGGGACATTTTACCGAATCCTTTTCTCTGAATTATCCACTTCACCAAAATCTACTTTACCTAATTCCAATTTCGCCGAAGCCATTTTGCCGGGTACCTTGGAGACTTTGAGCAAATTACACGGGTAGATACTATATATAATAGTGATGTAAGAATTTATATAGCGTAATATATTTAACATTATAGTTTCTGGTATTATACTCACTCCAGTATTAATCAAAAATTTCCGTGTTACAGGTATTTTAAAATTCAGGAAAAATTTTTTGACTAGTAATCTCCTCAGATAATACATTATAACATTTGTGTAGAAGAATTTTGATCAAAAATGGCTGTGAACTACTGAACTTGGTAGTAGATCACTTTATACCAAAAATCACTTGATCGAAATGCCATTTTGCCGAAATCCAAGGGATATTTTACTGAGATACCATTTTGCTTCCTGTATAATATACAGTATACATAGATTTATTTAATTTATTATCATTATTTTTTTTTACACTTTGTAATCTTTTATTTAACTTGTTTATGAGGACAAAAATTAAGCCTTTAAATTTTATGGACACTTTGTAGTTCGTGTCACGCATAAATGCCAAAGGAAAACGACGATTAATTTTTTTGTTATATGAGCATGTCTTCGAGAAGACGCCCTGGACGAGAATCGTCTCCCAAGAACTTATCTAGTAATTTTAAATTATTTCACTTGTCTTTTAAGCTTAATAATAACTGTACCGAATATCATATCTGTTCCAGCATTAGAGTTGCAGTTTAGTGACGGGAATCAAAGCAACTTAAAATAGAAATGGGAGTAGTTCGGTTAACTATACTTTTGAGGAATTGTATATGTTGTCGCATTATATATTATATAAACATTCTGAAGAGCTACCATTAAACCCGCAATTCGAAGTTGGGGAACGTGAACTTTGCTCGTGGCAAACTGAGTTCACTTCCTCCAGACGTTCCATGTGCGGCCCGAATTGGCGGTGGAGAGCCTCGCCTTTTTATATGATTTGTAGTGGGTCTAATCGATTTTGGAAGGGAAAATTACGTTAACTTGATCTCATCCCGAAAAATCTGTCGCTCAAAATTATAACAAAAAAAAAACTTTACGAGTTATTTATTAATACATGAGTTCCTGTGATATAATGACGTATCACGAAATATTATTACTCATGCAAAATACACTGCCAAAAACGGAATAAAAGATTTGCTACTCAACAATGAGTAAATGACTTGATATTGATATTTATTTGATTTATAATTTTATATATGGTAATGACATTTTGACTAGAAAAGTCTCTTCACGAAAAAAATGGGACAGACACATCCAAAGCCAGAAACACATTCCAAACCCAATAGTGATAAATCTAAAAATTATTTGTTCACTGATCTGCCACCAGTTCCACGAACGTATACTGATGATTTTTGGAGAAATGGAAACGATGCTTTCAGGTTTAGTGAACATGATATTGAGGCACTTAACCAATTTCGTCAGCTTGACCTTGAATCACTAGAGTCAGATGATGAAAAGGAATCAAAAATTGAAAAACTTTGTGCGAAGTATCCTTATGCTTATATTCCATTAGATGTTGATAAAGATGGTTACGCGCGAGGATTTAATCTCTTTGAATCAATAACAACTGGTAATTATGGGGAAGTGTTTAAAGAATATGGGGAGACCTTAATTCTTTGCATTGGTATAGAAGACTCTAATGCAATGATATACTTGGGTGGTAGTGGTAAATTGTAGTTATGAACCGCTAAAATTTTTGTATAATTACAAAGATACAAGCGCAATAAGCTCTGATGTGCTTCAAAATTACTGAAATATGTTTTGAAACATATAATTTTGTTTCTTATCAATACTGTATAAATACAGAGTAGAATTAGATCAATTAGATCATAATTGTATCTCAAAAGTATAATCCAATTTTTAAAAGTAGAGACTAGTAAGACATAATGCTGATTTTTTTTCTTATTATCTTTCAAAAAGCATGATTCTTTTCTTTTTCATGAATTATTAATTGCTTCTGATTCTTTCATTTTAAATAAATACTAAGTTTCACTTGTTACAGTATTTTTATGTTTTGTGATGCTCTAACTATAAATACCATCTTTATTAAAAATTAATATTGCTATTATAACAATTGTAGTACGAAGTGAGTTGATTTCTTTTTCGTTTCGTTTTTTATCGCCGTTTTCAAAATGGTGCGATCTTCAAGTATGTGGCATCGTATAAAATATGCACTTTAATAAACTTTTTGAAATATGATTGATAAAAAAAAAAGTAATCCAATAATTTGAAAGAGAAGAACTCAAAAGTATAATTTTATTAGTTTTACATTTTCAATTATCATATAATTTTTAACAAATAAATTGGCTTTTCAATCATTATACATATATTCTTTGCTACATTATTTAATAAAATATAAACTTAATTTTACCTAGTGATGACGACTCAACTGAAATCAAATGTTAAATTGTTTTAACATTTTATTATTATAGTTTAGCTAGTCTTTACAATTGTTAAAAAAGCTTATGTAATAAAAGTTTAAACGACCTATGTTTAGTTAAACATTAAAAAATTTAACTTTTTGTATACAATACTCATTCGAATTTAATCAAAGGAAATCTCGATAAAATTTAAATAATTTTGGGATAATACATTTGCGAAAATTAAAAAATTGAATAATCAAAATATTAATTATAGACGAGAAATTAATAAAAGTTTTATTTTTAATTTAGTTATAAATATATTTAATAAAGTGAACAAATCGTTAATATTTGTTGCTGACTTAGCCAAGTTTTTTAAAAAACTTGTTGTCACCTGATCACGAGGGAAAAGGAAGAAAAAAAAGGGAAAGAGCGAGGGAAAGGGGAAAGGAAAAGGGAAGAATGAGAGAGGGAAAGAGAGTCTGATGGGAAAGGGAAAAGAGCGAGGGAATAAGGGAAAGGGAAAAGGGCGAGTGAGTAAGGAAAGGAAGGAAAGGGGAAAGGGAAGAGGGAGGGAAAGGGAAGGGAAAGAGGGGAAACGAGATAGGAAAGAGGGAAAACGAGAGAGAGCGACCACCACCCATACACAACACTCCTAACCTACATACCTAAAAGAAGATGTAAAAAGGGAACCGAAGAGATCTAAAGAAAAGAGAAAACCTATCGGGTGCGTGAAGGTATTCTTGGTTTATTAGCTTCATCTGATGAGTTACTTATCGAAGAATTATTCAACCATGTTCAAGATTATAATCGAAGACTAAAGAATTTATTGGCTTCATCTGATGAGTTACTTATCGAAGAATTATTCAACCATGTTCAAGATTATAATCGAAGACTAAAGAAAAAAAAGGAGACCTAAAAAAAAGAGAAGAGAAGAGAAGACAGAAGGCAGGCTCCAGAAAGACGCCTAAAAAAAAGAAGGAAAACAAACCCTTACAACCCTAACCTTTAAAATTGAAATTTTTTCTTTTTCAAATGAAATTTGAAAAAAAAAATTAAGGTATTGGGGCATATTTATATTATTTATATAATTATTTGCATGAGTAATTTTATTTCAACTTTTATTCATGACTGATATGAGTAATAATATATTTATCGCCGATAACTTATGACAACCTATATATCAAGTAATTTTTATTACTAATTTTGGAATAATCTTTATCGACTCAGGCAAAGAAACTTTCACATCCTAGTTTCTACTAAATATTTCACCAAGAATCTTTGAGAATTTACATGTTCCACCCATCTTGTTTTAAATTGATCCAATGATAATATAAAAAGTCAAAGTCTTCTAATATTAGGACCATTGATTAAAATCATTAAATATCTAATCAAATTTTTTAAAGAAAACTTATGTCAATTTTTGTTTTAATTAAATTTTGGTATGAACTTCCAAACCCATAATTTGAACATTTTATTTAAATATAGATGGAATTCAGTAGTCGATCCTTGTCTTCCGTACATCGCCACAGATTTCGTATGGTTGGCTTCGGCCTTCAAGTTACGTGCCTTTTAGGATTCTCTGGTGATTTACTGAAGTCACCATTTAATAGCGGGTTGGGAGTGACGAAAAAAAATATATTTTCGCTAATGTATTTAGTACATCTGATAATGTAGTTATCAATATGATAAATCTATATTAAAAATATACCTACAAATAAATTTTATCAAAATTATAAATTTTTTATTGGATAATTTCAAATTACACAAATAATTACATGGTGCACTTACATGGCAAAGTTTGCGAATATTGGTATAAAGCAAACTTCTCCGCTTATGAAGCAAAATTTGCGTCATATCATATATGCGACATACGCTGAGCGCACATCATCTTTCGAATAATATGCGCGGCAACGTTTCGTCTACTATGCCGATCAGGCATTTCAGATTACTAATAAAAATCAAAAAGATCTTTATTAACTCAGTTTTACAATATTATTTTTTAAGATTGACATTCAAATAATAATTATAAAATAGGTAAATTTTAAAAGTGATTACTGGTCCTACCTAACCTATTTCAATACAATAGATATTATAAATAATTGTCAAAAAAAAGCATACATAATGACCAACTTTCAAAAATGTACATCTTATCAAAATATATTCGGATATTCTCGTATCAAACTTATTGTATGTAAGCAATCGTTTTTTTATATTCTTTAAATTTATTATATGTACATGTATACTATCGTTTCTTTTACTATTAAAAACTTGTTATCATAGTATCATAGTAGGATATCAAAATATCAACACTCAATACTTAAAAAAATTGATCAATCTAAATCGGCAAAATAATTTTTGCTGAACCGTTTCGATTAAAGTTCTCAAAATTTCCCGGTCCTAGGATACACTTATGTATAATCATTTCTAACAATTGTAGAACCATAAGGTTTAAGAACAACAAAGCGATAAATATTTCATTCATATGATATTAATTATCCCCTGATTACACGATTATGCAAATGTAGTTACACCTACTGGGTAGCAAATTTTATATGTATTGTTTCTAGGAAATTTTGCGGTAAAAATTAACTATTGATTATACTATAATGGACTGATTTGAAAATTTGAGTAATTCGGAAAGATTTGCATTTTCCAAATGGGAAAATGTAAGCTCAATATTATTTTTCAAGTGTAATAGTAATAATTCCGAAGCTTTTTAAAATTTAAAAAATTTAATTATTTTTTTAAAATCTTTTAAATGGAAAAAAACCAAGCGAAAGAAAAATAAGATTCAACAATAAATATACTATATTATATTCACGATATACTATAAAACACTTACTATTGTGTAAATGGCAGGGGATAAATCAATTATCTCCTGGCTAATTGGAATAGTAAAATTTTACTTAGAATCGGAACATGATCGGGCCGATCGTTTATCCAATCCTAGTAAAATTTTACTTATTCCTAGATAAGTAATACTTACATAATAATGGTATTTCTTTAATGCATTATCAAAGATAAGATTATCTTTTATAAAATCATATAATAGCATTTAAAACTGTATTTATAATATTAAAAATTCAATTAAATATTTGAGAACCCATTCGTTAATCGGACTATATCCTACGAACTAATTAAAAAACGCCAATTAATCATTCTAACCATATTTGAAAGGTTGTAAACAAAAGAATGAAAAGAATTTAATTAAGAAACAAATATTCGCTTACGTTATACATAATTTTTCCTTATCGTACTCATAACATTCGAATCTGACTGCGACCAGAGTATTCTCAGATCATGCATAATTCTATTTTTGAATTGTGGGTTTTTTTTTTGATAACAACGATAAAAAAGATTTTTTACCTAAAAAAGGAATTTATAAAGGTAAATGTCGATCAAATGAGTCATATTGTCTAATAATTTATCTCCTTTTTTTTTTTGTTTATTTATTTGAATCTTAAAAAAATATTGTGTAAAAAACATAATACTTAAAAACATAATACATAAAACATTAAACATTACTCATTTACTATTTTTTTTCTCTTTCTTAAAAAAGGACATACTAATTCCTTAATAACAATTCCGTAGTAAAGGTATTAATTAATAAATAATTTTTAATTAATTAATTTGTCTATAAATTAATTACTAATTAAAAGTGATTACTGTAATTCATATATAAAAATAAATTGTTTGCCGTTGTTATTAAATATTGATCTTGTAACGATCAATTTAAAAATTCCGATACTATCCTATAGAATAACCCGAGTTTATTTTTAAAGTTTAAAACTGTTCCCATAATAGTTTAATGCTCCAATCAATTTCAATTCGATCTTATTAATTTAATTTCACAAACGTGAAAACTTTTTTAAAATGTAACCAAACCGAAAAATATCATGAGTCAACGAATATTTACGAATATTTATTGAATCAATGGAATCTAAAAATCATTGTCTTTGATTCCCTTTTTCTTTTGATCTGAAAGATAAAAAAAAAACGAAAAAAATTATTTAAGAAACAAAAAAATTGATATCCTCAGTCGTTGCATTGATTAAAAAAACTTTTTTTTCTCTTTCACTGCTTAAAAAAGGTTCTTAATCATGACCGATAAAGAAAAGAATAATTCTTCAATATCAATAAATAATGACGATCAACAACAACAAAATGATAACCTTGAAGAGAATAAAAAAACGTTAGTTGTTGATATTGACGAAAATAATTCGATTAATTCAAAAAAGTTAACTCAAGAATTAACAACCACTAAAGAAAATGAAGATGATCCTTTCCTTTGGCCTAAAAAGAAAAAATGGATTATATTGTCTGTACTTTCTTGCGGTGCTATTATTGCTCCAATTTCAAGCACGTAAGTTTTAATTCGATAATTTGCTATAATTTGATTAATTCCTACTCATACTACTCATAAGCAAGAATCCTTTTTTTTTAAAAGAAACGCGCATTCATAAAAAGTGCATCGCGTTCTTATGTTGTTGAGACTTTTTAAAATGAGATTTTTTTTTTCATAATAGTATATTTTATCCCGCGTTTTTAACTGTTCAAGAGCAACTGCATACGAGTGACATACTAGTAACCACATCAGGTAAATAATATAGTACAATAATTAAAGAGATATTTAACTTCAAAAATAAAATTTAAAAAAGGGAATTAATTCTATACTTTTATTCATTTTAAAACAAAAGCCGCGGTCTTTCTTATTTTTCAAGGCATAGGAGTAAGTAATTCTCATTTCAATGGTCAAAACTTTTCAATTTTAATCATATACAATTATTAATGTTAACCAAATATATAAATTTAGCCATTAGGATGGGCAACTTATTCTGATTTAAAACATACTCGTAGAAATGTTTATCTCGCTTCATTAGTTCTTTTTATTATAGCATCAATTATATGTGCTGTATCAAATAACATTTGGTTATTGATTGTAGTTAGATGTTTACAAGCATGTGGTTCAAATGCTTTACATGCAATTGGACCTTGTACAATAAGTGATATGTTTGTTCCTGAAGGTAAATCTTTTTGCGAAAACTGCGTGCAATATGGACGTATATAACAACGTATACTGAACCATCTACTTTACTATATAAATATATAAAGTCATATCACATTCACTTACTTTGTGACGCAAAACTTAAAAAAAATTTTATCTTTAGAACGTGGAAATGCATTCGGAATTTTTTATTTATTCCCACTTATTGGACCTTTATTTGGTCCAACTTTTGGAGGTTATATCACACAATATCTTGGCTGGAGATGGTAAAATATTATATTTTTTTACGCGTATATTTTATAAACTTTAAAACCGTTTAAAAATTTTTTTTTTTTCCTTTAGGATATTTTGGTTAATAGCGATATTAGCATTTATAGTATTAATATTTATATTCCTTTTTGTTCCTGAAACGTATCGTAAACATAAAAATCTTTCTCCTCCTTCATCAGATTCATCTCCTCCTACTAAAAGAAAATTTATAAATCCTTTAGCTTCTTTGATTCTTTTTAGATATCCAAATTTATCTATAGTATTATCTTACATATCACTTTTTCTTTCATTGATTTATATTCAAGCGGCATTAATACCAAGAGAATTTAATAGGATTTATCATTTATCTTCTTCACACACTGGTTTGGTATTTTTATCTCCAGCTGCTGGTTATATGTTTGGTAGTGTTTTGGGAGGTAGATATTCTGATTATATTATTAGAGATGCCAAAAGAATTGCTTTAATTGCTCTACAAAAAAAGACTGAAAATCAAAAAGAGAATGATAATATGGAAGGAGTAGTAGTAATAAAAGATGAAATTATTGAAATTTCTAAGGAAGATGATATAATTAATTTATCATTGATTAAAATTGAACCTGAAAGAAGGATTCATGGAACTTGGTTAGGGGCAATTATCATACCTATATGTTACCTTGCGTATGGATGGTTATTAGAACATAAAGTTCCCGTAATATTTCCAATAATCGTCATGTTTTTTGGTAATATTTTTTTCGCGTATTTTTTTATTTTTTTATTTTTTTGAAAAAGTAATTGATTAATTCCTTTTTCTTTTTTAGGTGGATTCGGTCAATTACTTGCATTTAATCCAATATATACTTACTTGGTAGATTCATTTCCAACAAAATCAGTTTGGGTAAACGCAAATTTAACATTTTTAAGACAAATGATTGCTGGTATAATGTCAATATTATCAGTACCTATGGAAGATAGTTTGGGTACAGGTTGGACTTTTAGTGTGATTGTTTTCTTATATATTATAATAACTTTACCGGTTATTTCTGTTTTATTTAAAGGTAAACAATGGAGATCAAAATTTAGAAATGATTTTAATATTGAAGATGATAATATTTATATTTAAAAAGGAAGTGTATTAGCGTTAGTTATCGTTTAGTATCGATTAAGTTATATTTTACTGTTGTGTTGAAATAATATTTAAAAAAGTAAAATAAATTTAAATTTTTTATTGTATGTAATGACAATAAATTTTTGTTAAAGTAAAATAAAGTCGTATCATATTCACTTTATGAAAATTTACGTAAAAAACGCATTCGTTTTGACATTTATAATTATTAATGATTATATACCTTTTTGTTATAGAAAAGTATTATAAACATTTATAAATCCTTTAGCTTTAATTCTTTTCAATATCCAAATTTTATTTATAATATAAGTAATGGAGATGGGAGGATAAAGTATGCTAATCAATAATTACTTGATATAGTACAGCTAATATTAGAACTTAATAATTTCAAATTAATAAAGTAATGTTAGTTTTAACTTCTGAATTTTCTCTATTTTCTTTCAATCAAATTCATAAACCCATTAGAAGGCTCACTAATTTTTTTTTTTCTGAGGATTTATTCCACCATACGCAAAATATCCATACGCAAATTGTATAATCCTCACCTTGTAACAAATTTTTTTTATTTTTTCTAGGCGGATTCAATTACTTGCATTTATCCAATATATAACCCAATAGAGTTTGCGACTTTGTATAAAACAAATAATAACTTTTATCGGTTATTATTTTTACAATTGAAATTAAAATATTAAAAGGAGTTAATAGATTTTATGTTTAGTGTTATTTATATAGTTTATTTATTATACTTTTTATTAGTCTTTTTGATCGAAATTCAATTCACACATAATCAATCACCCAGAATTATTTCCTTTATTTAAAAAGGAAAATAATCTAAAAAAAAATTGTATATATTTTCTTTTCGTTATTTTTTTTTTTTTAATTTAATATGCTCGAAACGTTAGATTTCGTAAACTGCAAAAATTTGATAACAAGATTTGACCTGCAAATGTGCACATTAAATATAAATCTATCCATCTATCAAATAAATATCTAAACTAATACCTAAACTAAATAACCCATTAAATAACATAGTAAACAATTAAAAATCCTTCGTCCGGCACGTTTCCCCTCTCAATGATCTTCTACGAAATCCCTGTAGTCCTTCGTTCATTCGTTCATTAGGTTACTTGCGAATGTAGCTAACTTTTCTTTTCGTTAAATTTCTAAAATCTTAAAATAATCATAAATAATGGTACCCCATTGCAACCACCCGCGGTAGGCGGGTTATCTCTCACATAAATTATAAATCGGTCGAAGTAATCGGGGTCCCCTCCGTCGGATGGCAATTGCGCTTCACCATAATGATCCAGTAATGAGAAGAGATTAGGTTCCTCGTCACCCGACATCCGTCGTCCGGGCTTCCAATTTTCGTAAGGAAGCAATAAATTATAAGCTAAATAACAATACTAATTTTTCTTTCTAAAAAGAAAAAAAAACTTATGGATCGAAATAGTATTTAAGTGCTGAAATGTCATGTCAATGTCATGTCTTAATGTTCGATATAAATCATTTACTTTTTTATACCATCTGCTAGCAATCAAAAGATATATCAAAAATAGCCTTCTCTGAAATTCTTAATCCCCTAAAAAAAATGGCAGCAAATTAAAACACGTGAAATAATCCAAAGGCATGTACACATATATGATCTATCATTAAGAATAGCAAGGATTTACCTTCACGGATACCATATGTTACATGCCAAATTTCAAGAATATTTGAAAATCCAATATTTTTTTTAAGATCAATGCATTTATGATCATCGTTGCTTGATTCTAACAAATCATTGCTTAAATTGCAAAGATTCTATTAAAAACAAGTCAACAAATAAAACTTCAGTTTTAGCTGCCTGCACTTTGTGCAACTGTACACATATATATTGATTTTTAGCATCATGCATAGACCTATCTTGAATCTGTTGTTGTTAATAATGTAAGCAATTCTGGTGATAAAATTTATCAATACTTGGGAAGAATCTATGAATTGTTGATGCTAAAATATTATTAGAAGGAAACTGTAATCATGCCAATTGCTATAATCATCTTTAATTGTCTCCGCTTTAATTCTTTTTCCATTATCATGAAACAATCCACAAAGAGTATTATGATGATCCATTACACGCTATGTTGTTTGAATTCCAGCATTAAAACATGATTAATGTAACGCTTTTCCCATGTCGTATGCATTGGATATAAGTTATCAGTAAGATATTGCCTTGCAACATCATGTTTGTTAAGTAAATCTCCATTCAACTTGAAACTGTTGAATATTTAGTGTATTACATAAATTATCAAATGCAATAAGAAACTCTTGAAATTAATTACCAAGTTTACTACGTAGGTGTATCTTGATATTTTGTTTTAATGAACATGAACTATGTTTTCGAGAAAATTTCCCTTAATCACATTATGCATTGCAAACCAGCATCTGAAAATATAACAAGAGGAGTAATATTATTGTAGCTTTTTCAGACCATCCAAAACCCAACATAAGTGACATATCGTATTTATTGGCACCAAATGTAGTATCACAGATGATAACATCTGAATACAGCAATAAATTGATTTGCTTAGGTGTCATCCACATAATTCTTGTGAGATTATTATTAGCAGTAAATGAATCAATAAACCAAAGTGGATCATCATCTTGTTTTAAAGAGATTATTTTCTTTAATAAATTTGAAGCATCATTATCTGGTTCATTACCAGGTATTGATCATGCTATTATTTTGGCTTATTGAATGGCATTGGACAAATCTCGAAAAAAAAATTTATCTGGATATCTTGCTTCAAGTAATTGACGTTGTACAGCAGCATCAATATTCGCTACAATTGTATAAAATTGAACCTCATCAAACGTTTCCTTAAGCTGATGTGAACCGATCTGTATCTACATGGAGAACATGATTATGTTCTGTTACAAAAGTGAAAACATGTGGATGTTGACGCTTTGCTGGCCAATAAATAATAATATGTCATTAACAGTTGCACTTTTTGCTCCCTTTATTTCTCTGTTTAATATATCAGCAACCTTTTTAGGCTTATAAATTCCAGATCGATCACAGGCAAATGAAACACTAGTTGTACGATCTTTACTGATTACTTTTCGTATTTTGATCCACACAAACTCTATTTGTTGTGTACAATGGATTAATTCCATATCAACATTGTTCCAAGACTCAAATTCCAAACCAATTCTTAAACTAGTTGGTGAATGGGTATTATTCACTTCGTCCAAACTTTGAATTTCAGATTAAAGAAATTGATCCATGATTGTTTCAATTTTGTAATCAAGTGCAAGAGAATTACGAGGATTATAATGTTGTTCATTTTGATAACCTAGTACCTTCCCGTTCAATATAGTTGTGAAAAGCTGTTAAACAAAAAAGAAACATAAATTTGATTTAAACCGCAAAAAAAAAATAAAAGAAATAACAAAAACTTACCTGGAAAGTCATAAGAGTAACTCGTTTCCATTGTGAAATTCAACACGAAAACCATAGGAAAGAAAGAGATCGGAGCTATAGAGTATGTAAAAGTATCACGTTATTAAAAATTGTCTACAATAAATCTATGTACCGTATTTTTCCAAATTTAGTCCCCCCGAAATTGGGCACCCCTACCAACTTTGATCAAAAGATTAATATATAAAATACTAGTAAAAAAAACTTCCAAAATTAAGCACCTCCCCAAGTTTTTTAACCAAAATCCTTGTAAAAAAGGGGTGACTAATTTTGGAAAAATACGTTATATGGCGGCATATTACTTTATACTGTAGTAACTGTACTGTATATTCTTATTTATTTCTAATAATGAAGCGAAGAAAAATTTTTTTGACTTTTTTTTTAAAAATATCTTAAAAGAAAGTCTCGATCATAAAACAATTCGTAATTTTCACAAAAAATATGGTGATATTCATTTTTCTTTCCTAAGAAGGAAAATCAGTATGTTCCGTATCATCCTATGTTACAAATATTAATTTTATTTCAACGTTGAAAAATTATAATCACCATCGCTCTAAAAAAGAGTTACCGATTCACACGCGAAAAAGGTTTCTAAGCCATTTTTTATATTAAATGTTTTTTTTGGAACATACATAAAATGTTGGTTATTTATTTATTTTTTTATTTTTTTATGTTTGTAACATTATTATTTACTAATTGTTTACTAAATTTACCTGAATAAAAAAAAATTACTCATTATAATCGCTAAAAAAAAAAAAAAAAAAAATCTTTTTTTCTTTCTTCGATTCTTTACTTCTTTCTCCATATGGTCAGATCATCAAATGCTGTAGATTTATTGTACTTTTTTTTATGCATGGGATCCAGATATGATAACATCATCAGGAATATTTGTAATCACTCATTCTTGTATATATATAAATTTTTTGTTTTATTTAAATCATCATGAAAAAAAGAAAAAAATTAATAATATAATTTGTTTTTCACATTGGATTTGATTCTTTTACTTTTTTTCATGAACTTTAATATTAAATTTGAAACGAGATTTGTTATGTACAGTACAGTATTATTATTTCGATTTTGGTAAATAAATGAGGTTAAAAAAAGTATATTTTGATCGTCAAAACAAATTGAATACCCATGATTGCATGATTTGTATCTCTTGACTGATCTACATTTAGCCAAAAATCATTTAGCCGAAAATCCGTGTATGCTGAGAACTCGTGTGATTTTTATGAATATAAAAGAATTCAACTTCAGTTCCCACAGAGTCTTAGTACATAATAACAGATACAACAGCAATCAGAACTTTTCCATAGAAATCAATTTATAAACTCTATTATAAATGGATAATAATTATAATAATTCAAACTTTATTGATGAAGATGATTTACGACTGTCAACAACTAATTCTCATCCAAATGTTAATTGCAGTGCTCCTTGCAATTACAATAATAATAATGACTGTCCCATGATGAATATCAATACATCTGGTAGCGTTACTACGTCTTCGCAATCTTACCCTACTACATCATCAGATCCCCCGCATCCCTTACCGCAATATATTCAACAAATTCAACCTGTTTATCAACAAAATATTGAAAATAACATTCAACAACACACTACTCAGCCTATTACCCAGAACGTACCGCAAAATAATTACAATACTTCTCGTTATACTCACTTCCCCTCCAATGATTAATTCCTCTCAAACGAATCATTCTGAAATCTTTACATTTGATATTCCCGGATCCAAAGTTATCATTATCCCACTTTCTTCTCAATGATTAATTCCTTTAAATGAACCTTTCTGAAATCTTTAACTTATTCATTTGATTTGAACTCTCTTACTCTCAAAATATATTGTACGCACTGTTATTTTCATAGTTTTATTCTTTATTATTCTTTTAATTTCATTTTTTATTATCTCCTATTTGTAAAATTATATCTAAATTTCAAATAAAGTATTTGTAAAATCACATTTAATATTAATAAGATACCCGTCAAAGCGTCAAATACTATTACACAGTTGTATGATAAGTACGTTTGATTGAACTATTCGCCATTCATTTGATTGTTTTTTGTAAAAGATTCAAAAGTCGATCATAGCAAAAGTATCACTTTGCTTTGAATTTCAGACTTGTCATGGGAAATTTCATGTCCATTATGCTCAAAGAAATTGATCCATGATTGTAATCAAGTGCAAGAGGATTACAGTAGGAAAGAAAGAGATCGGAGCTATAAAAGTATGTAAAGTTTTTATTCGTGCGACGTAAAAAAAATGTATCCCGGGAATCAATTTTATTGGTTTAAATAGATCATCACGTGTTCCGATGTTTTTGCAGGGGTTAGATAAATTAACGGGGGACACTCTAATAACCAGAACTGTCGCCACCATAAATTGGTTACACAATCGAAATCTACTATAAAATTGCGCAAATTTTTCGACGCGTACGCATAGAAAAGCAGCCGATCTCAGAAGTCAAGGTTATATATGCTAGCTCTATACAGGCGAAGTTTTTTTATTAAAATTAGATCACTGGTTGCTTTGTTCTTAATTTTATATGTTTTTTGCTCTTTTATGATAGAAAGTTAAAATTACATCCTTTTTTTTCGAGATTTCAATAAGTATATACTAAATATTTTTATGTAAAACGTTTTAAAATAGCCTTTTCTTCTTTTATTATGGATTATTTTCAAGTGTGTAATAAAATTTTATATGTTTTTGAGGTATTTCAAACAGCCGATCCAAAATTTTAAAAAATATAGACAGAATATTTCGAATATTTTCGTGTAGTTTCACATTTCGTCATCACCGATTTATCATTTTTTTTCATTGATTATCGGCAGATCTTTCACTTTAAATATGGGGTACCGTTGTATTTTACTATTAACTCATAGTAATTTACATATGGAGACAGTCAGACAGTTTTGGTGATCATTTGACCAGTCTGGTTAGCCTGTGTAATATATGTGTTGGCCCCCCGCCCCCCGTTAATTTATCAACTACCCATCAAAAAATTTTCGGTAACGTGACTTGACGAGTTTTATTGGTCAGATTTAGAACATTTGTCTTAAAAATACTTGTAAAAAAACGTTTAATTTAAATATTTCCTATCAGTTATAGTCCTTTTCACTTCATAAATTTACTGTTGGTTTTTTTTTATTAAAATAAGTTATTATTTTAGAATTTAACAGTAAATCTTCGTGTTATTTATATAATTTAATAATAGTAATAAAAAGATAACTTGATAGTTCACCTTCATACTCCTAAGGTTGTAAATAAATTTAAATTTTGTATTTAATATAAAAAAGCGCTTTTATTTTCACAACACAATAAGATTAAGAAAATAGAATAGAATAAACTATAATAAAAAAGAATAATATACATTTCAAGGTGAATTACTGGAAAAAACACGCAAATACAAAACAGTTGGGATAAGTAAACTGAATGTGAAAAATACTTTCATTGATATATCTACTATTTTTAGATTAGTAATACAAAGTCACGTTACCGAAATTTTTTTTGGTGGTGTTCTTGGGGTAGTTGATTTTGCGTTAAAATCTAATTTGGATATATTGGACAAGTTTAAAATCGTGACAAATATCATTGTAAATGTATTCTATAATATTTGCCTTTTACAAAAAATTCCGACAGTGCTATGTATTATGTAATTTGCGTTTTTTTACATATAACTGATTTGACGTGTTTCCTATTCTTAACTAGTATATGGCGACAATTATTACATATTACTATATACTGTATATTCTTATTTATTTCTAAAAAAAAAAATCAAAATACTAATAAAAAAAAAATTATTATAATGAGATGCGAGATAAAATTTTTTTTTTTTTTTTTTGATTAACAATCAAAAAATCTAGAAAGTCCGATCATAAAAACAAACAACGTAATTGGCACAAAAAATACGGTGATATTCATTATAATTATTATTAGAAAATGTTCCATTTTTTCTAAGAAGGAAATTAGTCATCTATGTTCCACATAAAATGTTGTAATGTCCAAAGTGATTTAATTTGTTAAACGATATACAGTCAAAGCTCATTATAGTAAACCCTTGGTTCCAGTCATTTAGTCATTTTTATTTACTATAACGAATATTTACAATAGCGAAAAATCTCTTTATAGCAAACTTAATATAAAAATAAATAAAATTTCTTATTAGTCCGTGGTGGTACAAAATATCCCGTTGTCCGTCCGCTTGTTCTTTGAGTCGACGTTTAATTGGTTCATATATTACACGCGATCGGTTAATTGAGCATGTGGTTAGGGAGCTTACACATATTATGTAATTATCAAAGGGGGGGAGGGAAGTAACCAAAATCTTACGTTACACTTAATAAAATTATATGATTTATAAATATTATAATTTGATTGAATTTGATTGGTTATTAAATCTGACAAGGGGGGGAGCCGGGGAGGGGAGTAAGTTTATATTAAACTGAATATTACGTAATATGTGTAACTCCCCTTATCTTATAAGCTCCGGACTACGTAACGGTTTACCGTTTCCCTAGTAATGAATGTTTTTGATGTACTGTATATACACATGCAATTACATATTTTAAGTATTTAATCTAAAACAAATCTAATGTAATTTGTTTTGTATTATCTGGAGTTCACCTATTAATTTTTGATCTTAAAGTATTAAGGGTCTTTAATTCTGTATAATTTGTTGTAATATTATCAGGCAAATTTTTAAAATATTTAATCACCTTTTCTAAACTCTTCAACGCTTCTCTATTAGTAATAACGTCTATTTCTTCTGGTGTTTCATCATCTTCTGCATCATCATTTTCAGCAGTTGGAATTACCGCAGCTAAAATATCTTCATCTGATAATTGTTCAATTGGTATTTCATCATCAATATGAATAAAATCTTCTTTTTCTTTACCTTTTCTACTTGGCGGAACAACGAAAAAAAAAGTTGTATTATGATAAATGGCGTTTTATTGATTAAAAAAAAAGGAAATATATTACCAAAATGATTTACATTTTATTTATGATTTACATGTGTGAAATTTATTATTGATTGGATTGGGGGAATAAAAAAAGTTTAATATAAGCAAAATTTACTATAACGAACTTATAACGAGCAGTATAGTTTTTATCTATACAGTATAATTTTTTATCTATACAGTATATTTTTATCTATACAGTATAGTTTTTTTATACTATACTATACAACATCGGCCTTTTATTTATTTATTTATGTTTGTAATATTATTTACTAAATTTACCCGAATAAAAAAAATTACTCATTACAATCAAGTTACTTCATTGAAACAAGAGGCTTAAAACAATATTTCTTGCTAAATTTAAAAAAAAAAGAAAAAAAATATCTTTTTTTTCTTTCTTCGGTTATTTTGATGATGCATTGATATTATTAATGAAAAACGGAACTTCGTTCAAATAATCATAAATTTCCTGATAATATTATCAAATTCCCGATTCGAGTATAAAAAAAGTAGTTCTTTGACTTCTTTCTCCATACTTATTCAAACCGCTGTAGATACTTTTTTTTGTGCATGGGATGCGGAATTTCCGCTCATTCAACAGTACAAATATATATATATAAATTTTTTTTATTTAAATCATCATGAAAAAAAGAAAAAAATTAATAATATAATTTGGTTTCACACTGGATTTGATTCTTTTTACTTTTTTTTCCTGAACTTTAATATTAAATCTGAAACGAGGATTGTTATGTGCAGTATTTATATTTTATATTATGAAATAATAAAAGTTTATTTTGATCGTCAAAACAAAATTGATCAAATATACCAAATATACCCAATAGACCGAGAAGAAGAAATTTTTAACTGAAATTAGCCGATAATTCCATTTTATTATTTTTCACTAACCGATTGGTACCAATCAATGCAAAAAATAAATTAGTCACGTGATTTCATAACTAAACGTAAAATGTGAGTAAAGTGTAAAATGTGAGTAAAATGTAAAATATGTAACTATAAACAAAATAAAATGTGAGTAAAATGTAAAATGTGTAACTATAAACAAAAATTAATCCATAAATGCAAAATGTTAAATGTAACTAAACAAATCTATAACTTTTTAAATGTAATTCCCAAGAACTCGTTAAAAATAAGATGATACAAAATGAATATAAAAGAGTTCAACTTCTTCACTTCCCAGTTCCCACAGAGTCTTAATACATAAACGGAAACCGTTTAAGTCCTTAACTCGCAATTCATTTATTTATTTGGCATATTTCAGGGTCAAATAGGTAGTGTTACATAAATCGTGATACATATTCAAAACTAGTTCAGGATAAGTGAATAGTCCTCGCTAACTTCAACAATAACAGATACAACAGATACAACAGCAATCAGAACTTTTCCATAGAATTCAATTTATAAACTCTATTAATAATGGATAATAATTATAATAATCTAAACTTTAATGATGAAGGTGATTTACGATCGTCAACAACTGATTCTTATTCAAATGTTAATTGCAGTGCTCCTTGCAATTACAATAATAATAATGACTGTCCCATAATGAATACCAATACATCTGGTAGCGTTACTACATCTTCGCAATCTTACTCTACTACATCATCAGATCCCCCGCATCCCTTACCACAATATACTCAACAAATTCAACAAACTCAACAACCCGTTTATCAACAAAATCTTGAAAATAACATTCAACAATACACTACTCAGCCTATTACCCAGAACGTACCGCAAAATAATTACAATACTTCTCAAACTAATCATTTTGAAGTCTTTACGTTTGAAATTCCCGGGATCAAAATTATCGTTATACTCACCTCCCCTCCAATGATTAATTCCTCTCAAACGAATCAGTCTGAAATCTTTACATTTGATATTCCCGGATCCAAAGTTATCATTATCCCACTTTCTTTTCAATGATTAATTCCTTTAAATGAATCTTTCTGGAATCTTTAACTTATTCATTTGATTTGAACTCTCTTACTCTCAAAATATATTATACGCATTGTTATTTTCATAGTTTTATTCTTTATTATTCTTTTAATTTCATTGTTTTATTATCTCCTATTTGTAAAATTATATCTAAATTTCAAATAAAGTATTTGTAAAATCACATTTAATATTAATAAGATACCCGTCAAAGTGTCAAATACTATTACACGTTTGATTGAACTATTCACCATTCATTTTGATTGTTTTTTATGTAAAACATGTAAAACATACAATTCCATATCACTTTGCTTTTCAAAAATCAAATCTAAATTAGGCAACTAAGATTTCATAATGTTACACAAAAATTCGCGCCACGATTTTAGTTTAAAAAAGGCCTATAATAAAATAAAATAAAATAACATCTATTTTAAGTTTACTTCTCATAATGTTATTTATTTTGGTGCCATAAAAAAAAATGATGTCAATTATGCAGTGTCGTGTCGCACAATTTCAAATGCATATTATATTTTATTTTTATTCACTGTATGCAACAAGTCAAAAATTTTTATACCAATTCTTATGAATGGGTATTATTCACTTTGTCCAAACTTTGAATTTCAGATTTTTTATGAGAAATTCCATGTCCATTATACTCAAAGAAATTGATCCATGATTGTTTCGTTTTTGTAATCAAGTGCAAGAAGATTAAGAGGATTATAATGTTGTTTATTTTGATAACCTAGTATCTTCCCGTTCAATATAGTTGTGAAAAGCTGTTAAATGAAAAAAAAGAAACATAAATTTGATTTAACCCGCAAAAAACAAAAGAAAATAACTGGTAATACAAAAATTGTCCAAGTGGCCCAGGCACAGTTGCCTTATTTCGAACTGCGTATAACATGTAATGAAGTGACATAATAGAGATCAGGCTACATAATAAAAAACGTAAACATGTCAGCACGTAACCATGTGACAAAATCATCACAGGGTAGTGTCCTCTATAACATGTAGTACAAGAATGTAGTATAGTATAACTTATCCTCTGTGGTGGTGATGACACAAAAATCAAAAATCGAAAACGAATTTTTTATAAACGCATTAAATTTTGATATGTTCTACTCTCTGTTACTACGCAATCGGTGACAACAAAACTCAAAAGTAAGTCTTGTGTTGGCGGAGGAGATTAAGGAAAACAATACATTATCATGTTGAGTTTTCACGTAAAGAGACTTCAGGACCGAATTTCAAGGTGACATGGGAGGAGTGAGACTTGATTTAAAACCGTGAAATGAGTTTGAAGACTTAAATCCCCTGGTAATGAGATGGTTAGAACAGAGAGATTCCGACCAAAAAAATAATAATAATTTAGCCCGTGTGGCTCCCTTAGTATAGAAATTTTCTACATATCTATATGTTGCGACATGTGAGCTTTTCTCAGTATCCCTATTGAATTAAATTGTTCCACAAAATTAATTATTTTATTAGTGTGATTTCGCATCTTTTCATTCGGATCATATTTTTTTGGTAACTACGGAGAAGTTAATTGGAATAAAACATAATATTTCTCACGTTAATGGATCTGATCATGATTGGTAAGTTGTTACTGTATGTCAATAGATGGGCACGATGTATATTTAAAAATATGGTTTTAACGAGTTTCAATCAAATTTTGTTTTTGTAATACACTGAGTAGTTTTGATAACGATTGCTACGAGTTACCACGAGTTATACATACAAACTTTTATATAGTGTAGTAGACAGATCAAAAAAAAAATGTGCCAATCTTCACAACAGACAATACTATGTATAGTCGTTATTTTAATTAAAGATATTTGTATTTTGTTCTGGTTTGTGTTCCGATTGTATTTGATAAAAAAAACGTGTTGTTCATATTACATCACAACACCCTCAGGCATTTTTTTCATCTCCAAAAATTCTCCTATAGTATGGAATATTGTAGAGTTATTTAATGTAAACATTTCTCTTGATTAACGATGAAGATTTGGTAAATATGATCTGACCTATTCAGAGCGGTCATCACGTTTCTTTTTTTTCGAAGATTCCAGAAATCGAACGATTAATGTATCTTAGCAATTAGTATGAAATTAAGGATCATTCTTATGGCATATTCAGAGAAATGTGCATTCATCATGATCTCATCAATCATGATAATTACAATTTCTACTATATCTGAATGATACGTGATCACAAGGATCATATAAGATATTGTTTCCGAAAATTGATAACTAACGATAAAAGAAATTCTTTGATAAAATACGTATAACTGTGTTTTTGATTCCGAACGAAATCATTTAAAATACAAACACAAACAGCAAATGATATAATTATCTGCTTCCCAATTAATAATATTGGTCACACCGGAATCTCCGTTGCATTTCTTATTAAAAAAAATCACGAGTACTTCAGTTTTTGTCAGTTTGTTGGTCTAGAGTCCAACATCTTCGACTTTCTATAGGACGATCACAATTATCATATGAGCAAGAGCAAAAGCAAAAACTTCCGACTCTCTGCTAGGCATTGATCATCATGAATAAAGTTCTATATGTTACATCACTAAAATAAAACATACTTTAATAGTGGAAATAGTGGAACAAAATAGAATCAGAAATATTTATTCTTTTTTTTAGTGTTTACCTTTAGTCTCAAATCATCTATCATATTTTCAGTGAAGATTTGATTCTGCCGATTTTTATTAAGCATACTTTTACAATCATATGATTAAATTTTAATCAATAAAAATTAAATATTATATTAATCATGTGATTTCAAAATGATTTATCGCGTCCCCAATTATACAATGTTCTTTTTCTATTTGGGAACGACACTTTGTAATCTTTTATTTAACTTGTTTGTGAGGACAAAATTAAGCCTTTAATTTTATGGACACTTTGTAGTTCGTGTCACGCATAAATGCCAAAGGAAAACGACGATTAATTTTTTGTTATATGAACATGTCTTCGAGAAGACGCCCTGGACGAGAATCGTCTCCCAAGAACTTATCTAGTAATTTTAAATTATTCCACTTGTCTTTTAAACTTAATAATAACTGTACTGAATATCATATCTGTTCCAGCATTAGAGTTGCAGTTTAGTGACGGGAATCAAAGCAACTTTAAATAGAAATGGAAGTAGTTCGGTTGACTATACTTTTGAGGAATTGTATATGTTGTCGCATTATATATTATAGAAGCATGCTGAAGAGCTATCATTAAACCCGCAATTCGAAGTTGTTGGTGAAGAGAGTGGACTACACAAATTGGGGAACGTGAACTTTGCTCGTGGCAAACTGAGTTCACTTCCTCCAGACGTTCCATGTGCGGCCGAATTGGCGGTGGAGACCTCGCCTTTTTATATGGTTTGTAGTGGGTCTAATCGATTTTGGAAGGGAAAATTACGTTAACTTGATCTCATCCCGAAAAATCTGTCGCTCAAAATTATAACAAAAAAAAACTTTACGAGTTATTTATTAATACATGAGTTCCTGTGATATAATGATGTATCACGAAATATTATTACTCATGCAAAATACACTGCCAAAAACGGAATAAAAGATTTGCTACTCAACAATGAGTAAATGACTTGATATTGATATTTATTTGATTTATAATTTTATATATGGTAATGACATTTTGACTAGAAAAGTCTCTTCACGAAAAAAATGGGACAGACACATCCAAAGCCAGAAACACATTCCAAACCCAATAGTGATAAATCTAAAAATTATTTGTTCACTGATCTGCCACCAGTTCCACGAACGTATACTGATGATTTTTGGAGAAATGGAAACGATGCTTTCAGGTTTAGTGAACATGATATTGAGGCACTTAACCAATTTCGTCAGCTTGACCTTGAATCACTAGAGTCAGATGATGAAAAGGAATCAAAAATTGAAAAACTTTGTGTGAAGTATCCTTATGCTTATATTCCATTAGATGTTGATAAAGATGGTTACGCGCGAGGATTTAATCTCTTTGAATCAATAACAACTGGTAATTATGGGGAAGTGTTTAAAGAATATGGAGAGACCTTAATTCTTTGCATTGGTATAGAAGACTCTAATGCAATGATATACTTGGGTGGTAGTGGTAAATTGTAGTTATGAACCGCTAAAATTTTTGTATAATTACAAAGATACAAGCGCAATAAGCTCTGATGTGCTTCAAAATTACTGAAATATGTTTTTAAACATATAATTTTGCTTCTTATCAATACTGTATAAATACAGAGTAGAATTAGATCATAATTGTATCTCAAAAGTATAATCCACTTTTTAAAAGTAGAGACTAGTAAGACATAATGCTTATTGTTTTTTTCTTATTATCTTTCAAAAAGCATGATTCTTTTCTTTTTCATGAATTATTAATTGCTTCTGATTCTTTCATTTTAAATAAATACTAAGTTTCACTTGTTACAGTATTTTTATGTTTTGTGATGCTTTAACTATAAATACCATCTTTATTAAAAGTTAATATTGCTATTAATAACAATTGTAGTATAAGCGAAGTGGGTTGATTTCTTTTTCGTTTCTTTTTTATTGCTGTTTCAAAATGATGCGATCTTCAACCATGTGACATCATATAAAAAATTAAAAATATGCTAACTTTGAACTTTAATAACTTTTGAAATATGTAATAATTTTATTACTTTACATTCAATTATCATATAATTTTAACAAGTAGTTAGCTTTTCAAAATCATTAATATTATTTGATGAATATAGAAACCCTTTTTAGATGATTGATTAAAAAGAAAATTGGACAGATGTTCTAGTTATTCTAAATATTCTAGAAAAAATTGAGCTTTATTACTCCTTTTTTCTACTTTTTTTTTCTGGTAATATTGCTTTACTTGCATGATTGTAAACTGAGTTTGATAAGAAAAAGTTATTTTTTTCTTAGAATTTCTTAGAATTCTATTTAACTAGAACAATTAGAACAAATAATAAAAAAAATAGCTTAAAGTGGGTCAGCAAAAGCAAGAAACTATCCTAGTTCATGTTTAATTCATTTAAATCATCTTAAAATATACTTCAAACTAATTTAGTAAACAAGACTTTGGTAACTTTTAAATTACCAAATAGGAAATATTTGAATTTTTCAAATTTTATGTTAATAGCAAGCTGTAATATAAATATGAAAATAGCATAACTAAATATCACTTAAATTTTTAAATTCAGACTCTAGCAAGATAATGAATAATAATTACTAATATTGGAATTTATACTTGTTATTCCATGGATATCTGAAAATAATTAAATTATTCACTAATATATCCTTCCTTTTGGAAGGTCTCATATTTAATGGATATTGTACGATATTGTATTTATATTGGTTAACGTCACAAAGTGACGTTAACCAATATAAATACCACCGTACAATATCTATGTTATCGTACGGCTAATGCAGATCATGTTCGAATAAACTATTAATATTCGATATTGTACGCAAATAAACTATCGATATTTAATATTGTACGCAAATAAACTATTGATATCAATATTGTACGATAATAAAAATATCAGACAAATAAAATCAGCATGATCCTATAGGGCCGTGTGATAACAGTGAATACTAAGTTATTCTAAACTTTCATATAATAACAGGTTTATTTCATTATATATGATATATATATTAATATTTAATAGATTTTTTTTACTATATTTAAGTTTTTTTTTTTGTTTTTTTTTTATTTTTTTACATTTTATTTTCTTACTCCCTTTTTATTTTTTCTTTTTTATATATATTTTTGCCACTTTTAAATAATCCTATGATGATATCTATTTTTACAAATATATCAAATTCAACAACTTTCAAAAGTAAAAAATACAGACAAATGTATTGCAAAATGGCTTCATATAGTTAATAGATTTAATTATATAATAAAAAAAATTGATCAATATATTATTTATATAGAATTTGAAGAAATTTTATGCAAGTTCATTATATGGTTTAAAAAACAAAATAATGAAAACTATAAAGCAGAATCTGTATATAATTGTTATGCATCATTAATAAAATATTTAAAAGAAAAGTCAGTTATTAAATCATATAAAATCTGGAATCAATATTCCATTTTTTTAGCAATTAAAAGTTAAAACCTTAAATAGTAAAATGAAATAGCTTCAACTTCAAGAACTTTACAAGCAGATTTATTAATTAAACAAAAAATTTAACAAATATTGGATTATTTATCAATAAATGATGAAAACAATAAGTTCTTAATAAGAAAAGTATTTTTTAAAATTTTTTATTATGTGGTTTGCAAAATAAAAATACTTACAAAATTAAAGATCAGTCAGTAATTAACATAAAGAAAAAATAGTGAAATTAAACTTAAAAATATTTATTAAAAAAAATAATCAAAGAGATATAAAAAATAAAAATAAATATAATAAATTTATATTATATAAAATTTTAATTTTACCAGATTTTAAAGGAAATAATTATTAGCTTAATATTAATAAATTGAAATATAAATTAATATAACTTTCAGATATACAGTCTCCTCTCGATATAACGAACCCTGTATTATATATAGCCAATCAGGCCTTCGTTAAAGCAACTTCATTAATACTACAATGAATTATTCAGTATAATATAGCGAATTCTTCATTGTAATATATAACTATGTTACACTGATAGTTTTTGGCATTATACAAATTTTGAAAATACTAATATGCCGTAATTTTAACCTGTCGAATTAATTATAGTTTTTTATTTTTATATTTTACTTAATTTCTTATCAAGTATTAATTTTAAAAATGTGATTTTACTACCATTAAATTTGTCTTATTAAAATGATTCCAATGAACTATATTTCATTCTTTTCTGATCACTGGATCAAAAGTTAACAAACTACCTGATTGGTAATGATATTTGGTGAAAATGCTAATCAGTCACCAATTAGTTACCAATCAGCTACCTGATTAGTGACCGATTAGTGACTAATTGATGCCTGATTTTTTACTTTTCGACCTGTGTTTGCTTGATCAAAAAATACTTTATATTTTATATAAATATTAAAGAATTATTTTTTAAAATTTTATTAGTTTGTTAAATAATTACGTCTAAATATAAAATTAATTAATTAATTACATCAAGCAAATTAATATAATTATAAATTTTTATTAATAGAATTATTTGATTATATTAATAAAATTATCAAGATTGATTTGCTTTGTAAAACAAAAACATTCTCTCAAAGCTTCTTTTTTAATTTTTTTATAAATTTAATATTCTCATTATTTGAACCATAATTTTTTTCCTGATATTGTAAATATAAGATCACTTTATCGTAACATTTAATAACTTCATTATGAGTTATTGTTAGTAAAGGTTTCTCCTCAAATTTTTCTTTTTCTTAATTGTTAGATTAAACTGCTTTTAAAATTTCATCATCAGAAATCATTTCGGTTGTTACCTCAAAATCATCATAAAGAACAAATTCTTCAGCTGTGAAAGAATCTTTAAAATCAAGTTTATTTATTAAGACTTGAACTTCTTTCAACTCCTTTAGGCATTTAAGTTCAAGTTGTATATCAATATTATTTTCATAAGCTTCACAGTTGACATTTTTATCATTACTTGGCTTATCATATTCAGGTATAATACCTGCTTTTAGCCAACAATTTTTGATTGTATTATTCGTAATATTATCTTACGCATATACAATATATTTAATACATTTTTTAATATCAATTTCACCAAGTTCGGTGCTATGTTCATTAAAATTATCAAAAGCTTTAACCTGATTATGCAAATACAACTTTCTATATTATATTTAAAATAAAAATTTTAACATTAAATTTGAAACAATTATAGTAAACAAATAAAGTTTACTTCTTACTTTGAAACTATTGATGATTTCTTGATCGCAGAATTGAAGGTGAGATGTAATATTTAGAGGAAAATATTTAATGACAATATTTGTAAGAGTTGTATTTTCAGATAAAGCATGTGTTGAAACATTGTCAACAAGTAGAATTATGTGCCTATTTTATACTTTCATATAAGAATCTAATTTTTTAAGATAATCGTTTCAGATAGACATTTGCATCCAACTTTTTTTATTCCAATAGTAATTGATCAGAAGGAATATTTTTAAGTACTCTGGAATTTTCATATTTATATATAAATAGGAAGCACAATTTTTCAATTCCGGTTAAATTGCAGATAAATAAAATAGTTACACGATCCTTTGATTGCTTAGTTCCAGTTATAGGACTATTAGATATTATATGATTCAATTTCATTTTTTAGAAGAGACCCGTCTCATCACAATTAAAAATATTTTTTGGATCATAATCTCTTAATATTTGACAAAATTTTTCTTTCATTGAATCAAAATCTTGAATTGATGTACTATCCCCTTTCAGCCTTCCTTATAAATATTATATTGCTTAAGATTATGTCTTTTTTTAAAATTATCAAGCCACCCATTTGATACTTTGAATTTTTTTTCATTACATAATAAGGCAAAATCTAATGTCTTTATTGCCAGAATACTTTCAGTAAGAATAAGTCCAGCTTAAAGTGCTTTATCTATCCAGACATTAAATGCTTCTTCAATAATAGGAAACTGAATTTTTTTTTCACATTTTAAATTGGCTTAATATGAATCATTATCTATTGTAAGCCATTGGTCTTTTTCTTTCAGAATATCACTCACCATTCCTTCATTAATATTATATTCTTTTGTTAAGTCCTTTTGTTTTAAAAAGGAGTGAATATTTTTTTTAAGCAAATCTCCTTTTTTTGGGCTAATATGAATAATTTACACTTTCTAGAAGTTTCTTTTGGCATATTATTAATATTAAAAAAAGGAATAATAAAAGTAATGATAAGTATCATCATGAAGTTTAAACAAATAGAAGTTTTATATTTATCAAATGGCAGTATTTGATAAGTATTAAAAATTTGCATTTATTAAGTAATAAAAAAATAAAATACTTAAATACTATAATATTTTATTATTTATTAATTATTTAATTTTTTAAGCATTTTTTTAATACTTTAATTTAACATTTATAGATACTTTTCAATGCATCTTATATTCAATAAGTGCTATTTATGAATATTTAGTAAATACTTTAATAAAC